CGAGCGCAACTTCCTTCGCTCGAGCGGATGTTCAAAAATGTGAGAGGTTGCTCAAGCGCAATTATGGTCACTCGAGCGATCTGTAAATTTTGTAAAAGTACTGGTTACATGATTTTTTTAGCTTGATGCACACTCGACGATCACTCAAGTGTGAGATTGAGGTCTTCGCTTGAGCGCAACTCTTGTCGCTCGAGCGGTTTGTAAAATATGGAAACTTCTGGGAGCATGCAATTTATACTCGAGCCAACTTTTGGTCGCTCGAGCGGAGCTGCAAAAATAAAAGTGGTCGCTCAAGTGCAGAATCTATTGCTCGAGCGAAGGAGTAGAATTCTGGAATTTCAAGATTGCACTCCCAAGCTCAAAACTCGAATTTAACAGATCAAAACTCATCCTCTTGGGCCAAAACTCAAGAAAACATTTGGAAATTTATAGATTATCAAAAATTGAAGATCATTTTGCAAAAATCAAGGCCTAAAAGCATGTCAATTGTATGAAATCAAACTTGATGTTTACAGTATGCAAATAGGCTCAAAAGCTTAAGCAAGAATGGGGGTTTTAAGGGTTAGAAACTCACCCTTGATGAACTTCTTCGAGGTTGCAACTTCAGTAGGTTTTTCAAGCTCGAACCAACCCAAGAACACCAAAACCAGCTCCTAAGCACCTCAGTAGCAAAAGGATGGTGTTTAAGTGTGTGTTTGTGTGTTAAAGTAATACAAAATGACACTTTAAGGCACAAAAATGAAGAACCAAGGCAAGATAGATACAAATCTATATCTATAACTCAAACCCTAATTTTTTGAACCTAGAGGAGGGAGAAGGAGCCTCCCTCTTATAGAGAACAAAAGGCAAAGCTTCTCCAAGAAGCTAAGGGCCAAGGCAATCCCTCCATACACGTATATGGAGGATGGCTTTGGTGCCCTCCTACTGTGCCAGCTGGAGGAAAATATCTCCAAAAAGGTGGCAAAAAGCAGCCGACCACTTAAAGTGGTCGGCTAACTACTTAAAGTGGTCGGCTGACCACTTTAAGTGGTCTTCCAGAATAACAACTGGTTGGCCATGGTGGGAGAGAGTCTAGAGGATGAAAACAAGAAAATAGTGTGGTGGTCGACCACTTTTGATGGTCCAAAGATCAGGGAGACCAGTTGCCAGACCAGAAAACTGGCTGGCAGGAGAAAAAGTGGTCTCCAAGGGAAAATACTGATCTCCCACCCTTGTACCACCTTCCAAACAAGGAAAACAAGGTTTGTATAAAAAAAAACCAAAACAGATGCAAGACGAAAGTTCGGGAGGCAAAGCGCGCAGCTGAGAGCCTCGAAAACTAGCTGTTGAGCACCAAAAGTGGTTTACGACCACAAAAGTGGTCTCCCAAACCACAGTGGCCCTCTAGGCCAAGGAAACAAGGTGTGGTTCAAAAACCACGCCAAACGGAGAACATTAAGCAGTTTCGGGACAAGGCGCGCGGCCGAAGGCTCCAAAAACTGGAAATTGGTCTCCAAACGGGAAAATTGGTCTACGACCACAAAAGAGGGTTTACAAGACCTCCCCCTCCCTCAGGCAAGGAGAACAAGGCTTGGTCTGCAAACCAAGCCGAAACACAAAGAGTTTAGAGGCCCGGAGGCAAGGCATTCAGCCGAAAACTCCAAAACCTCGAAAAGAGCACAACATGCGCAATCACCGAGCGCTCAATCGATGACGTCTAAGTCTTAAGGTCGGTCAAAAATGGGGAGTCTACAGTTGCCCCTCTTTGACAGAACTCGAA